TCCTCAGTCTTCTCTTCCTACACTTGCCGACCCGGAGTCGGACTCTCGCCGTGCTGCCAGTCCTACTGTCACGCGTCTTCTTTCTACTCTTGTCACTGACCCTTCCTTTGAGTCCGCTACTGCGTCTGCCCTAGTTGCTGAGCTGGTCGACTTTGCTGCTGCGTGTCGTCTAGACTACGCTGCCAGTCTTGTTGCTGAGTCTGCTGAGTCTGCTGAGTCTGCGTCTACTGCGTCTGCGTCTGCCTGTCCTCCGTCCGTCGGGGGTGACAGTGCTCTTGGCACGGACGTCCTTGAGGACAGGCAGGAGGAGTTCCAGTGCTTTGCCGCCGCTTTGCCCCATCTCGTGTCCATGCTTGTTGCCCCTGAGGGAGACCCGGATGCTCTAGACATCCCGACCCCACGCTCTTACGCAGAGGCGATGGCCGGTCCCTACTCCTCTCAGTGGCAGTCAGCCATGGACGCAGAGATGGCTTCCTGGAAGTCCACAGGCACCTACGTTGACGCTGTTCCCCCTCCTGGGGCGAACATTGTCAGTGGCATGTGGATCTTCAGGGTGAAGCGGCCGCCGGGTTCTCCGCCTGTCTTCAAGGCGCGCTACGTGGCTCGTGGCTTCAGTCAGCGACAGGGAGTTGACTTCTTTCAGACCTTCTCCCCTACCCCGAAGATGACCACTCTTCGGGTTCTACTGCACGTCGCTGCTCAGCGTGACTACGAGCTACACTCTCTTGACTTCAGCACTGCTTTCCTGCAGGGCCGCCTGCACGAGGAGATCTGGCTGCGCCGCCCTCCTGGCTTCACTGGGTCGTTCCCTCCTGGTACCCAGTGGAGCCTCCGGCGGCCAGTCTACGGTCTCCGCCAGGCGCCGCGTGAGTGGCACGACACACTGAGGACTACACTTGCGGCTCTTGGGTTTGCTCCTTCTACTGCTGACCCGTCGCTGTTTCTGCGCACCGACACCTCGCTGCCGCCGTTCTACATCCTCGTGTACGTCGACGACTTGGTCTTTGCCACTGCGGACACTGCCGCACTCGCCCACGTGAAGTCCGAGCTGCAGAAGAGACACACGTGCACAGACCTGGGTGAACTGACAAGCTATCTTGGCTTGCGGATCACCCGGGACAGAGCACGCCGCACCATTACCCTGACTCAGTCACACATGGTGCAGCAGGTCCTTCAGCGCTTCGGCTTCACGTACTCCTCGCCTCAGTCCACTCCTCTGCCTACGGGACACTCGCTCTCAGCTCTGCCTTCGGATGAGGCCGTAGAGTCGAGTGGTCCGTATCCAGAGCTTGTGGGCTGCCTCATGTACGTGATGACCTGCACTCGACCTGACCTCGCATACCCTCTCAGCATCTTAGCACGCTATGTTGCTCCCGGCCGTCACCGGAAGGAGCACATGGATGCAGCTAAGAGGGTGTTGCGCTACTTGTGCAGTACGTCGGGCATGGGGCTAGTGCTTGGAGGGCGAGAGCGGCCTGTGCTCACTGGGCACTCAGACGCTTCTTGGGCTGACGACCAGGCTACTCAGCGGTCGTCTCAGGGTTACACTTTCAGTCTTGGCTCTGGCTCTGTCTCTTGGCGCTCTACTTGCTCTTCTTCTGTTCTCAGCTCCAGCTGTGAGGCTGAGATCTACGCCACGGCCATGGCTGCCCAGGAGCTTTGCTGGCTCACCTACCTGCTGACTGACCTTGGAGAGCGGCCTCGTTCTCCTCCAGTGCTGTACGTCGACAACAAGGCAACCATTGCCTTGTGTCAGGAGCACAGACTGGAGCACAGGACGAAGCACATTGCTCTACGCTACTTCCTTGCTCGAGAGCTGCAGCAGCGTGGTCAGCTTCGCCTACGTTTCGTGGCCACTGAGGCCAACACTGCTGATGTGTTCACCAAGGCACTTCCGCCTCGTGACCATTAGCGCTTTTGCACTCTGCTAGGCCTTGTGCCCACTGGGCCTCACTTGCTTACCTCTTGACCTTGCTTGTACTGCTGCATATATATATTCTTGCTCTTGCTTGTTTAGCACTGTTATATATATATTCTCTGCTGCATGTGAACTGGCCTTGTGGCCTTGATCTTGTGCTCGGAATTTGTGTGGTATCCTTGAGATCCACCCTGAGTTTGCTTTTCTTTGCTTTGCTTTGCTTGACTGGTCTTGTGACCCCTTGCTCTCCCCCACTTTGCCTATGGGGGTGTGTCAGATGATTATATTGCTGATGCATATATTTAGGCTGTAGTGGGGTAGCCCATAGGGGGTACAACCCAATTAGGGTTGGTACTTGTACTTGTTTCATTTCATAGTGCACACATTCTCTCTCTAATCTCAACAAAATTCACTCGGTTTTCTGACTACAATTCATTTTCTACTTGACCTGTTTGTTTTGCAAGGTGTGCGAGATGCGTTGTGGGGAGAAGGGAGGGTAATTCGAGAGACGAAGTCAATGTGGAAAAGGGTGGAAGGAGATTTTGATGGAGGGAGAGGAAGGCAGGCGGAAAGGGGGAGGAAGTAGCAGTGATTGATAAATAATTAACTTATTGCAACTCTTTGTTTTGTCTGCTATCAATCCTATTTGTGTATGTATGTGTGTGTTTGTGCGGGTGTGCTCGTTGTGTTTGTTTCACTGTGGGGTTGCATTTTAATGCGTTTGGTTAGATGGGTTGTACTTTTTTTTACGTGCGTTTGCATTCATGTTTGTGGGATGTGTGTTTCAAAGTGTGGTGTTAGTATGTGTCATGTATGCAATTAGAGGTTGTTAATCGTCTTTGGGGCAGCGGGTTTTCGCTGTTTCAACGACCCCATCAACCTCTGTTGTTACATGATGCATTTTAACATTCATTTTGAAGCATCCACCTACATTTCATACTTTGTTGTTCATCTGTATTATTGCATTCGTTCATGTTGAATCCAGAATATTATGCTCGGCCGTACCATCCGCTGTATTAATCGACGAGGTGGGACGGTCGAACAAGTTCGTGGTTTCAACATGATACGCACGTGCATGGTTTCACGTTCATGGATCTAATTCAAGAGTGGTTTTTATTCACTATTTGAGGCATCCGTTTGAACAAAGTCTTAGAAGTTCAAATGTGTGCTCCAAAGAGTGTATGGAAAATCACCTTTGAAATGATATCCCCAAAATGTGAAACCAAATATAAAGGGTTGCTACGCAACCCAATTATATACACACGGGTGACGTCATCACATGCCGCCCCGCCCGCCCTGGCACAAAGGGAATTGAGGCAAAACGAAAAACCCGCGGAATCCCTCCGGGCCCCCAGAAATTCCCGGCAGACCAGGCCAAAAAACCCTCCGAAACCCGCGGGTTCAATGTCGTATTCTTATTCTCATATATATGTCGGCCGAACTATTGCAATTTCGGGGACATTTGTCGAACAGTGCTCGACGGACATTGGCCAATCGCCGTCGAGCACCGTGCACCCCCGACAACGCTTTTTACACCCGGTGGCATGTCGCCCACACGGTGGCGCTGACGGTCGACGGTTGCGAAATACCGACTGTCGCAATCGACGGAGACGTCAACTGCGGCCGACCTGTCGCCTCGTCGGTCGAGCGAACTGTCGCTGTCGGATGGGCGACGGGTTACGTCTGTCGCAGTCAAACGTTCACGTCAACTGCCGACTGCCACGTCAAATGTCTCAGTCTCCACGGGGAGCAACATCAGCCCAAGGTCACTGTATAAACCTGAATTCATAGTAGAAGCACCACACTTTCCTCAGCAGGCCAGGATTTAGGGAGAAGTGCTAGCTTTCGGTGGGCACTGATGGAGACCGATCCGTCGACGACAGCGCCTTCCCGGCAGGCGGACGTAGGACGGATACCTGTCGAATTGGAGTCCATCTCGACACCACCCCCTTCGTCGTCTGGAGCCACGCCGGTTTCTTCCGCGCCCCCTTCGACGATGCGTGCCATACCGGAGGTGGCAGCGCCCACCTCGACGTCGCGAGCCATACCGGTAGTATTACAGCCGGTTGTTACGGACCAGCGTTCGACGGCCCCTTCGACGACGCGTGCCATACCGGAGGTGGCAGCGCCCACCTCGACGTCGCGAGCCATACCGGTAGTAATACAGCCGGTTGTTACGGACCAGCGTTCGACGGGTATTCCGGTCACTGTTGAAGTGGGTGGTGCACTGACCGAATTCCCTTCGACAGGTCAATCCATACCTGTTGTCGTAGAACCCATCTCGACAACAAATGCCCCCTTTACACACGAGGCTCCTGCTCACCGTGCACCATCGTCAACAGCCCACCGCTCGACGGAACCTTCAGCTGGTGCACCTACCTCGACAGGTGGGCGACGTAGGAGAGCGAGGGCTGTTCCGCCTGAGGTTCGCCAACCACCCCCTGCCGGCACATCCGCTTCTCGAGCCGGCCCCGCCGCTCCTAGGTGCACTTCGACGAGACCAAGCAGAGAGGACTTAGCCAGGAACGTCCCTGAAGCGACGGACGATGACGATGTTCAAACGGGAGAACAGCAGGAGGCGGACGATGTCGAACCGCCAGACCCTCTGCGGCCTGCTGCGGCAAATATCTCAGAGGAGGATGCCGCGCACATTCTCGGCGACCAACCGGGCGCAGACAATCCGTACTTGGCGACCGGAACACTTAAAAGCAGGATTCTCCGGTGTGAGGTTCCGCTGCTGGGAGTTGACCAGGATTCCACACGGCCGAACTATGTCTCTGGAAGCATGCACTACAAAGCTTGGGCCTGTAAAATTCTGGCACCCGAGGGAAGCAACGGAGTGCCTAAAGAGGAGCAGGTGATCTACGAGGACGAGATCGGTAGGGAGATCGGCGACGATATGGGGCCGAGATGGAGGGAGGCGCTGCGTAACGAGGAGCACCTATATGGGCCGAAAATAACGAAGTGGCGCTTGCGCACGTACGTCGAATACATGTCGACTGAAACCGACCAACAAGCGGCTTCGTTGGACACAGGCCGGACCAGAGTCGCTGGAAGGAAGGCGAAAAAAAGCACCCCTCCGATGATGCTGGCGCGCCTTACTGCGCTGACGTGCTTCTGCAGAGTAGAGGCCATACTCTTCGACGAGCCACTAACGAAACCCTTGGACGACATCACCGAGGCCCGGCAGCTTCTTGCGGTCAAGCTGCAGCAGCTGCACGACTTTCAGTTCGAGTAAGTAGGCTGCCATACACCGGACTCTAAAACTTTTCACTCAAATTCTCACCCAACTACTCGCTGTATCTGCCCACTCAATGCAGGCAGTGCGTCGATCCACACCGGGGCTCGCTCGACGATGTTTACACGGAGGAGCAGTTCCGCATTCTCGTTTCAGACATCCTGCCGTACTGGGCCAAGGAGTACTTTCGGGAGTCGATGAGTTACCCCAGTCAGTCGCTGTGGAGGGCCTTGGCCGTGAGGGTGATGATCCTGATGGCGCATCACATGCTGGGCAGGGGGATAAGCATCCGCGAGATCCGCTACTGCAATATGTTCACTCACGTCCTTCCGCCCATCACGAACAGCAAGGGGGAATCGTCTATCCACGTTCTCGTGGTCGCCTATCGCCACTCGAAGACCATCAAAGACAACAAGCTCGGCCACCTGTACCTGACTCGACACATGGACTTCCGGTAGTGCGGCTTCGGAGCAGTGTTCATGTGGATACATTTCATTTTCGACCTTGTGCCGCTCTACTACAACAACGATAAGATCGTGCCCCCCTTGGATTTCAGCAACCCGGAAAATTGGTCAAAGAAGCACCTGTTCTTCGCCCTCTTCGACAAAGACAAGACCGAGTTGCCGTACGCGATTCATGCCAAATGGGTTACCTGGGCGATGAAAAGCGCGGAGTGGATCCTGTCGAAAGTCACACATATCTTTCGACGGTCTGCGGCACAGATCCTCGCCGACAAAAACTGTGAACTCGACAACATCGCGCAGCTGGGTCAATGGGACATGAACGAGATGCGCAGGTCATACGTCACAGGCATCCCGCGCGGGGCCATCCAGCTGCAAGCGGGTTTCACGACGGAACCGGGTGACTATTACCTTGGAAGATCGAAGAGCGAAGTACCCGCGAAGGTCCTGAAGGCTATCGAGGAGCACATATTTCCAGAGGCGGAGCAGTGGCTCGACGAGGTATGGATGCGTCGAGCGCTTAGCGTGATCATCGAATGCAAGTTTTGCCCATCTATCTCTCAATGTCACCACGTTTGTTCTTGTTCAGGCGATGGAATGGAACAACGAGCAGGACAAGGAGCATATGTTCTTCGCAGCGAAAAGTTTCTTGAAGGCCCTGCAAGCCGTCCGAATGCCCATCGCCGAGGATCTTGCGATGTACTACGTCCATTGTGACGACCACCCCTTCGACGGAGTGACTGTTTGCGACTGCGAGCGTCACCCTTATGTACAGATGTCCGGTTTGTGCAAGGACATGGATTTCCAAAAATGGGCGCTTGACGTGTACCTGCTCGACAAATACGGCATCGAGATGCGGACCAACCCCACGCTGTCGAAAGCTTCGGTAAGATGGCCCTTCTAATTTTTAATCCGAACAGATTGCATCAGCCCACTTACCTACCGCTCGTGAACTTGTGCGCAGGACGCATCCTTTCATCTCAACACCAAGCACCTCATCACGCAACTTTGGGTAGAGGTCAACTTACACAAGGAGGAGGGTGGGAAAAAAGAAATCAAGATCAAGGGCCTCGAGCAGAAGGTCGAGTCATTGGAGCGGGAGAAGGGCGCGATGCAAGCGGAGTTGGAGGCGAAGGCAGAAGCACTCGCGCTACTGCAGAAAGCGTTCGATGCACTGAAGATTACCGCCGCGACAACCGCAGCTGCGAGTGTGGGGGGGAGCGAGAGTGTGCCGCAGACGGCGACCGAAGAAACCACCCCGCCACCACAGCAACCCCCTCAATCAACGCCCACTCAACAGAGCAAGGGCAGCCAGCTCGACCAAGCATTCTTCGACGCAGTGGTGTGGCCGTGGTGCAATTGCGAGACCGTGCGGCAGGCGTGGTCGTACTGGGACGGGCCAAGCCCGCTGAACAACGGACACAGTCTTCGACACGCTTACAGGAGGGGTTTCGCCGTCAAGTTCAGCAAGTTCACTCCGACTCCTCCCACCGTTCCCCAGGTTGCGGTGGACCAGCCAAAAGAAAAGCCACCGACCCCAAAACCTGTCGAGTCGAAATTGCGGAAGATGGAGGTTGTCATGAGGGCCGTCGAGATATTCAGGGTCGACGACAGCAGCGCGGCTACGTCGACGATCATTGATAAGCTTGACTCAATAGTCGCGAACCACTCGATCAACATGCTGGCTGAAGGGCTCGTTCTCAAAGAGGATTCGGGGAAGCAGCTCACGAAGAAGCGCAAAGTCGAGACAGCAGAAGACAACCGGAAGGACAAAGATCGCCTCAGGATCACGCGGGAGCTCATTCGCGTCGAGCTTCGAACCACGAAATGGGCCGAGAACGTGCTCAAAGACAAATGGAAAGAGTTCATGAAAACATTGGGCGAGAGCCCAAGTTCGACAGGCAATCCTGACGAGGGGGGAAAGTAGAGTAGGATGTTCTTTCAGAGATTGCATGGCAGATTCTCATTACTGACCGACCATCTTGCCTGTATGAACCTTCTGAGCATTATCGCACACGGAAAGTCAAGATTCATGCAACATGTACATGCTGTCGATTAAACTCTGGAAACAACTAACACAACTGTCGAGAATGGCAAACACCCCCACGCAAAGTGCCCGCCTAGACTACTCCCCTTGCCCGCTAGTTTCCGTCTCAGCTGCATCCTCGACGCCCTGCTTCGCCTTGCTCTTTTCTTCTGGCATAGCCAGGCTGCCATAGCCCGCGTCCTCCAGCAAGCGGGCAGCAGCTCGACAGCAGCACCATTGCGTACAGACCTGTGCTGCCACGCGCAGCATCTGCAGCAATATGGCGTCCGTCGAGCCGAGACCTTCGACAGCCGACGAATACAGGTGATCGGGCCACTGCTTCGCCGGGAACCTCTTGCCGACGTGCAAAAGTATGGACACGAGTGCGGACATGGCAGCCACACAAGCCTTCTTTGCAGTCTCCGGGGCGTAGATCGCCCCGTTTGCGGCAGCTAGGGCGTCCTTCTTAATATCCTCCCTCGACAACTTCCTGCAGGCCGCCCACAAGCTCGCCACAGTTGCTGCGATGACCATCATGTGCGGTGTCGCCGCCATGCCCTTCGGGACCGGGTAAATCAGATTCCCGTGCTTCAGGCCAAGCGTCGCGACCTCACCAATCGCCACGCACAGCGCGATTCCCCTCTCGGTTCCAGCTTTCGCTTCCTTTTTTGCCGTCGCCAACAGCGACAGGTAACTGCACATCGCAAGAAATGCGTTAGTCAAGTGGCCAGAATTCGACCGACAGCACATTCACCGCAAAACAGCTAGTGTTCGACAAATCACCAAAACAATAGGAATTCAACAGCAAAGTCTAGCAACATGACTTCGACAGGACTTACTCGTCAAAACGGCATTCCCCTTGTTCTTGCGCCACGCTCCAAACGCCGGTTGGCATTTCTGCGGCCGCATCAAGGTAGACCTTCCAGTCCTCCTCATCCTGCGCCGTGTACCCTTCGTACTCCGTAAGGACAACGTCGGGGAAGTACACGCGCCAGCAGACGGCCGTACAAAACTTCTGGTCCTTCTCTGTTTCAAATGTGCCAAGGAACCGCTTCCTCCCACCGACGGTCTGCTCGGAAACCAGCTTCCCCTTCCGCAACCCGAAACCCGGTCCTTTGAAGGGACGTTTGTAGCCTCTCGTCTTGCCTTGGTCGTCCGGTCGAGGAGGTGGGGTGTGACCCGTGACCCTGGCCTTCTTCGCCTTTTCCTGTCGAGCAGCAACGACAATAGAGGTCTTCTCGACAGGCGCCTGACCAGGGACGCTGGACAGCTCCACCACGTCAAGGCTCTCTGTCGCGTGTGCAGCGCGCTTCGACGACTTCGTCGCAGCCGGCTTCTTCTTCGACTTTGAAGGGGAGCCCGGATCGCTAAGGCAAACGTTGCCTAGGGACGGAGCAGCGGCGAAAGGAGCAACTGGAGGGGTTGAGGAAGACGCCCAATTTCCCACAAGCCCGGCAGCAAGGCCAGCACCACCGCCGTGCGCAGCTGATGCCGCTTTAGGCTTCGACAGCAACCCAGCGCTTGCTTCTCCCGCTCCTTTCCCTGCACCGCCGCCTGACGGGGTAGAGGCACCTCGCATTCCTAGGGCTCTGTTCCCGGTCGAGGCGACGTGCTCGTTCGGGGCACCACTTTTCTCCCCCGCGACCACTCCTTTCCCACCCGTTTTCCCCAGGTCTTGCAGCATGTCCCGCATCGAAGCAAACGCATCAGGTTGATCGATCGGAGCCGCTACGGAGGTCTTTGGGAGGGCTGACTGGTCGAGTACGATGACTTCGGGGACGGGCTTGGCGACGGGATGACGGCCACGCGCCGGTGGGGATCCAACCGGGCTGCCGACATGTCCTCCCGCCGAAGAAGACGGAGGAACCGACCGCTCGTGACCTCGAGGCTCAGCCCCGCTGCGAACCCCTCCCACACCCTCCTGACGCGACCTCGTCGACGGGCCCGTCGAGCGCTGAAAACCTCTCGCCATCGCTTCGGTGAGGACTTCCAACCTCCCTGCTTCGGCTTCTTGGTATCCTTCCCTCACAATGTCCTTCAGCTCCTTCATGGTCTCGGGTGGGAGAGTGGAGCAAAACATGTCCTCCATGATGGCTTTCTCGAAACCCTTCAGCACCGCAGCAACCAGCCGCTCCTCGACCTGCTTGAGCTGCTTCTCGACGGCGTCCTCGCTCGCTTTTGTGATGGCGGCTACCACCCCCTCGATGATCTTCCCGCTCATCTCGTCGATCTTCGCCCGCGCCCCTTCCAACAGGTTCCTCTCCGCCGTGACACCCTTCACAGCCTCGGCACACTGCGACAGTGTGCTCTTCGACAACTCCGAAATCGTATTCCACGCCGTCCGAAAATCCGCCGCAAGCCTGTTGAATACTCCGGCTTGCTCAGTGTGTTTCGCAAATACATCGGCGACGAGCTGCTTCTGTGACGCCTCGACCTTCTCGACCCTCTGCAGTAGCTCGACGACCTGGCCTCCGGGTGCAACGTTCGCCGTCGATTGGCCTGCCGTCGAAGGCCACCCGGTCGAAGGGCCCGCCTGTCCGCTGCCACTGGCCGTGCGGTGACTCCTTGTTACGGCGGCCTGTCGCTCATCTCCTCGACGATACTCCTCAACAGCCTCCCCGACCTCCTGCTCCTGCCCTCCCGACCCACTCACCCGCGCAGCCGCAACCCTAAACTCTTGCTGCTGCACTCTTGCCCCACCCACCTGCGCAGCCGCCACGCCCTCCTGCTGCTGCCCTCCTGCCCCGCCCTCCTGCGCAGCCACCTCGCCCACCACCTGCTGCTGCCCTCCGACCCCACCCTCCTGCGCAGCCGCTCCGCCCTCCTGCTCCTCGACAGTCTTTGTTTCCCCTGTCGCCTGCTGCTCGATAAGCTCTACTCGCTCGTCCACCCGCTCCCCGAGCGCCACTCCGTGCTCCCCCGTACGCTCCGTTCGATGTCCGGCGCCCTCGCCGTCGTCCTCGACCGACTCATCGCTCGAGCTCGAGCCGGGGCTCGATTCCGAGCTCGAGTCCTCGTCCTGGTTCGCATCGCCGCCCGGGCCGCTCGCCCCGTGCTGAGCCTGCCTCGATGTATCCTCCTCGATCTCCTCCTCCTCCTCCTCCTCGACGCTGTACTCAATCACGACGCGTCCCGTCTTCTCGCCTCCTCCCTCGTGGTCGGCACCCCCTCCCACACTTGCTCCCTCCGCCAGCTGGTCGATCTTTCTCGAAAACAGCTTGACCATGAACAACGGAAGCACACCCGGGCCAGGGTTCGTTCTCCCTAGATGCACGAGTTCGCCCTTTCGAGGCTGTAGGATGAAGTCGTCCCATTTCGACAGAATCCGGCGCACCCCATGCACGACACGAGCTGCCGCGCCGTTTTGATAGGGGCTCGACAAGGCCGTCGTCGTCTGCGACGGGTACAAAACATACGTAAGCGACAAAACACTTGCTCGGCGAAAACGCTGTTGGTCTAAGGAGAGCTTACCAGATGGTCGAAATCCTCGTTCAACTCCAGACGAAGGTCCATCACCTTCAACACTTCTTGGTCGTCCTCGGTCAGAGCCTGGTGGGTCATCGCGTACTCGGCGCGAAGCTGCCTCTTCATCCACCTGCGACGCAGAGGACAGAAGAGTAAGATTGTCGAGAACAGCAGCTCGACAGCAGGGTTGCAAAGTTGTCACTCACACGAAAACTTCTTGCGCCAGAGAAGATTGGTGGTTCATATCGGGAAACTTGTCTTTCGAATCGAAGTGCATCATTCGAGTTCGACTGCCACGGTGCCTCGGAGCCAGCAGATCATCGGGGCGCGATACCACAAACAGGCTCGAGTGGGAGAACAGAGGCACACTCAGTCTGCATGCACAGCCAATGCACGTGAGAACGGGTTCAGGGCTAAAGACGGAGCACGCAAGGCGACGGGAGAGTGTCGAACTCAAGGTGTCCGCAGCAGAACGAAAACCACTTGCTTGCCGAGGAGGCCGTCGAGGTGGTTGTTCGCAAAAGCGACCGGGGTGGGACAGGCCATCTCTTCACGCGCACGCGTTGGAGTCACGATCGACACCTTGGGGAGCTGCTCGACGGAGAGCAGTTCATGACAGAACAGGCTGCACGGAAAGCTAAGTCAACGTCAGCGATTGGTAAACCGAAACATGGCAAACCGAAAATGTTCGACAGGACACGTACACGACGCCCGCGACCATCATGCTCTCGTCGAGCTCCCCTTTCGGCGCCTCTCTAATCGCATTCAGCTGGTCCTCGAACACCTCCACCTCGACCCCGCCTGCACTAAGGATGAGGCCGCGTCGAACCGTGGCCTCGTTCATGACGGGTACGGAGGCGGGGCCCGTAGCCATGTCTGTTCTAGCAGTGGAGAGGGCGGACGCGCAGGGGAGTTGGGAACTAGCAGGGACTAGGAAGTAGGGAAGCAAAAATCAGAAACAGCAACAAAATGAGACCGGACGCAGGGTATTAGCTGTTTGCCATCCCTCCCACCGCGACGGACCAGGGGGGTTCAAGGGCGAGGAGGCAGGGCGCGTTCCGAGACGTGGGAGGAGGAGGGAGGCCGGCGGGGCCCCATTGGCCTCGACGTGAAACCTGGTCGTTGGGGTGGGCAGCCTTGCATGCAGCTGAAAGGCCCCTTCCAAGGTTCGGGAGGGGGCCTTCGACACGTCGCCAAGATCGAGCGGCTTGAACGAAACGGGCCCGTCTAGGGCGAGAGCGGTGGAGCGCGGCGCAGATGGGCGTCGCTTTCGTCTGGCCGGCGAAATTTCGCGGACTGGTTCCGTCGGCGAGGCGTCGCTCGGCGAGGGACGGGTGGGTTACCTGACGGAACCCGTCGACGAACTGAGCGGGGGGTTGGGCTCGGTTGGGGGGTTGGGCTCGGTTTGGGAGGGGGACCACTGCCAGCTCGAGGGCGCGGGCTGCTGGCGTCATCGGCAGCTGGCGCCAGCTGGGGGTGCCCGTTTTCGGGTGGGAGGGGGGGGTGGCTCCCGCCCCTCGCGTGCTTCGCTAGGCGACGGCGGGAAAACGAAAATCCCTCCGAGGAAAACCCGCAGGGGCGAACGGGTTTCCGCGGAGGGATTCGGGCGAGGTCTTCCCAAAAAGCTAGTGCTGATTGCAAACCTGTTTTGTCGTTAGCAGCAAACTTGGCCAATGTCGCTGGGATGTTAACCCCTTCGAGGAACATGCCTCCCGCATGACTTGTGTGGGGGGCCGTGATGGCTTGTGCGCGTACAGAACGATGCCCGAGGCAAATGCGGCAACAGAACAGCGCCCAAATTTTAACCCCACCTCCTCGCGAAGCCCATTCGTTTTCGTGGGGGGTTGCTCTTGGTGGGTGCTGTTCCAAAGCCATCACTACTTCAAAATGCATACTGTTCCCTCGCGTTAGCGCGTATGAACTCAAGTTTGGGTTTCCTTAAAACTAAGTCGGGCCGTTGGGATACCAAATGGTTCGGCTCAACTGTGACGAAAATTTTCGCAAATGCTTCGACACTCGTTGAACAACCAAACCAAATGCTTCGACGCTCGTTGAACGACCAAACCAGGCCCACGACATTCTCTCACTTTCGTTTTCCGAACGAGCCTCCGCGAAGAACCAGCATGGCTGCCTAAGCTGAAACCCTAGGCTGTTATCTACCAGACCTCCATCTGCACTAGCCACGTTCTAAGCACTTTCCTCGGTACTTCCGAAGCTTCCTAAATCTCCTGACCACACGGGGCGACTCCCGTAAGCGCGCGCTTCGGCCGCAGCCCTCATACCTTAGACCTGTTGATTTCAGACCATTTAGGAAGGTGCGCTGGTTGTCACGAAGTTCCAGGTCGTTTGGGCTCGTTGTCGTGGATCGCAATGTTGCTCAGAACACGGAGCTTATAACGAGTATCCCGACGTGTCAGGCGGTCACTTCTGACTGCCATGTCACGTGTCGCCGTTTTGCTTGCGGCGAAGCCTGCATTCGAAGTATCGTAACTCAGAATCGCAACCTACGCAAGCTTCCGTAGTAGCATGGCTCTGGCTCATTCGCCTTTCCCCTTCCCGCTTTCCCCGTTATAGCATGACTCGCTCGCTTCTCTTACAGCGCCTACAGACGCTCACCAATCAGCAAACTTCCAGCCCGCCCAGCATACAGCCTGACCTGCCGGCGGAAGCCGCGCAGAGGGCAGAGGCTGCACGCGCGGGCGGCGGCGACGCGATAGCAACAGCGCAACGAATGGGAGCAACCACAGCAGGGAGGGTTGCTGGGGAAGCGGGTCAAGGCGAAGGACGGGCGGAGGAGCAGCGCGGTGGCGTGCGGTTGGAGTCGGTTCTGGCTGCCAACTCCCTTGTCGCCCTGCCTGGTCGCCCCGCCGTCCCCCCTTACGCCTTCCCCTCGCCCTCCCTCCACTCTTCGCTCCTTGGCCTCTCCGCTCCCCCCCTGCCCACACGCACTTACGAGCCTGCTGTGCCGGGCAATGGCTCGACAGGCAGGGGCAGTGCCATGCTCGCATGTACAGGCACGGGCACAGGCACGGGCACGGACACAGGCACTGGCACAGGGACAGGAACAGGCACAGGTACGGGCACCGGCACGAGCACAGGCACGGGCACGGGCAGGGATTTGCGTGAGCGGTGGGAGCAGGCTTTGCAGATGGGCAAGGGGCGGGCGATTTGGGACGACGAGCAGACGACAGCCCTGCTGGGGATCTTGCGGGATGTGCTGCGCGCTGAGGGCTCCGCCCTCCCCGGCAGGATCGACTGGGGGGCGGTGCACCGCGAGTGGTTGCGGCGAGGATTCCCGCGGTATTCGGGGGAGCAGCTGCGAATGCGGTGCAAAGTGGTGTGCGGGTGGGTGAAGGACATTCGGGTGCTTCAGGAGCTGCTGCCGCCTGAAGTCGCCTGGGACCCCACCACTCAGTGCTTCAACCCCGACCCCGAGGTGAGGCATAGTCTGATTGTGTATGATTTCAATATGGGTTTACCTCTGCCTCTGCCTCCTCTGCCTCTGCCTCCTCTCCCTCCTGTCCCTCCTCTCCCTGCTCTTCCGTCTCTCCCTCCTTTGCCTCTCCCTCCTCTCTCCCTTCCCTCCGTTTTTCCTATCTTCCTTAACCGTTCGCCTGCTCCCTCACCACCCCCACCTGCCGCTGCAGCTGGGCATCATCCCGCGGCTGAAGCAGCATGGGCAGTGGAAGCACTACAGGCGGTGGCGCAAGCACACGGCGCCCTGGCTGCCCCTCGCTCTGCTCACCGCTCACACTTGCCCTGCTGAGGCACCACTGTGGGACGAGGAGGAGTGGGAGGAGGAGGACGAGGAGGAGGAGGAGGATTGGGAAGAGGGTGAGGGAGGGGAGGAGGATGGGGAAGAGGAGGATGAAGTGGTGGAGGTGGAGGATGGGGGTGAGGGGAATGGGGAGGCGGAGGAGGAGGAGGAAGTTGAGGAGGTGGGGGGGGGAGAGGAGGAGGGATGGGGTGATGGAGGGCGACTGCGGCGTGTGGCAGGGAGGTATAGGCATGGATCGGGAAGGAATGTGCGGAGGAGGACAGACAGAGGGGCAGTGGAGGGAGAGCGGTGGAGTGGTGGAGAGTGGGATGGTGATGAGTGGTGGGGGGCGAGCAGGGGGGGTGCGGGGCAACAGGCAGGGCAGGGAGGGGATGTGAGGAGCAGAGGAGGTGTGAGGAGCAGAGGAGGTGTTAGGAACAGAGGGGAAAGAGAGGGTGCAAAAGCGAGAGGGGTTGAAAGTGGAAGAGTTGGGGTTGGCAGAGCTGGGGTTGGCAGAGCTGGGGTTGGAGAGGAGGATGGTGGGTTAGGCTGTACAGTTGACGCACTGCGGGCCAATGGCGCTCCTCGTGGTGAGATCGCACGTCGCAATGTAACATTTGCTGACAGTGCTCGTGCTGACGAGGCTCGTGCTGATGGGACAGGGGGTGCAAGCGCGGATGAGAGGGACGAGTACCCTGCGAGGCTGGCAGCGCGGATCGCTGGCATGGTGGCGAGCAGGAGGGAGCAAGGCGGCACAGAGAGGCGAGGGGTTGAGGGCGAGGGAGGAGGGGGTGGGGATGGAGGAGGTGGAGGAGGGAATGCAAATGCATGGCGCGTGGGTGGGGCTCGAGAGGGTCGGAATGGGGTGGGGGAGAGGCGGGAAGGGGGGCGTGGGGAGGAGGGGAGAGCAGGGAGGGGTGTGAAGCGGTCGAGGCCGGTGTGGGTGCAGGTGAGGGAGAGGAAGCGGCAGCGGCGGGTGATGGAGAGTGTGGCGCGTGCCCTGATTGTGTTCAGAGGCAAGGCCAAGAAGGGGCAGGAGCACGTGTACCGAGGTGCGTGGTGTGATGGGATAGGATGGGATAGGATGGGATGGGATGGGATGGGATGGGATGGATGGGATGGGATGGGATGGGATGGGATGGATGGGATGGGATGGGATGGGATGGGATGGGATGGGATGGGATGGGATGGATGGAGATGGGATGGGATGGGATGGGATGGATGGCGATGGGATGGGATGGGATGGGATGGGATGGGATGGGATGGGATGGGATGGGATGGGATGGGATGGGATGGGATGGGATGGGAGATTGGATGGGATGGGATGGGAATTGGGGATGGGATGGGATGGGATGGGATGGGAGATTGGATGGGATGGGATGGGATGGGATGGGATGGGATGGGATGGGATGGGATGGGATGGGATGGATGGGATGGGATGGGATGGATGGGATGGGATGGATGGGATGGGATGGGATGGGATGGGATGGGATGGGATGGATGGGATGGGATGGGATGGGATGGGATGGGATGGGATGGGATGGGATGGGATGGGATGGGATGGGATGGGATGGGATGGGATGGGATGGGATGGGAGGATGGGATGGGATGGGATGGGATGGGATGGGATGGGATGGGATGGGATGGGATGGGATGGGATGGGATGGGATGGGATGGGATGGGATGGGATGGGATGGGATGGGATGGGATGGGATGGGATGGGATGGGATGGGAGGGATGGGATGGGATGGGATGGGATGGGATGGGATGGGAGATGGATTGGATGGGATGGGATGGGATGGATGGGATGGGATGGGATGGGATGGGATGGGATGGGATGGGATGGGATGGGATGGATGGGATGGGATGGGATGGGATGGGATGGGATGGGATGGGATGGGATGGGATGGGATGGGATGGGATGGGATGGGATGGGATGGGATGGGATGGGATGGGATGGGATGGGATGGGATGGGATGGGATGGGATGGGATGGGATGGGATGGGATGATGGGATGGGATGGGATGGGATGGGATGGGATGGGATGGGATGGGATGGGATGGGATGGGATGGGATGGGATGGGATGGGATGGGATTGGATGGGATGGGATGGATGGGATGGGATGGGATGGGATGGGATGGGATGGGATGGGATGGGATGGGATGGGATGGGATGGGATGGGATGGGATGGGATGGGATGGGATGGGATGGGATGGGATGGGATGGGATGGGGATGGGATGGGATGGGATGGGATGGGATGGATGGGATGGGATGGGATGGGATGGGATGGGATGGGATGGGATGGGATGGGATGGGATGGGATGGGATGGGATGGGATGGGATGGGATGGGATGGGATGGGAGATGGGATGGGATGGGATGGGATGGGATGGGATGGGATGGGATGGGATGGATGGGATGGGATGGGATGGAGATGGGATGGGATGGGATGGGATGGATGGGATGGGATGGATGGGATGGGATGGGATGGGATGGGATGGGATGGGATGGGATGGGAGATGGGATGGGATGGGATGGGATGGGATGGGATGGGATGGGATGGAGATGGGATGGGATGGGATGGGATGGATGGGATGGGATGGGATGGGATGGGATGGGATGGGATGGGATGGGATGGGATGGGATGGGATGGGATGGGAGATGGATGGGATGGGATGGGATGGGATGGGATGGGATGGGATGGGATGGGATGGGATGGGATGGGATGGGATGGGATGGGAGATTGGATGGGATGGGATGGGATGGGATGGGATGGATGGGAGATGGGATGGGATGGGATGGGATGGGATGGGATGGGATGGGATGGGAGATGGGATGGGATGGGATGGGATGGGATGGGATGGGATGGGATGGGATGGATGGGATGGGGATGGGATGGGATGGGATGGGATGGGATGGGATGGGATGGGATGGGATGGGATGGGATGGGATGGGATGGGAGATGGGATGGGATGGGATGGGATGGGAGGGATGGATGGGATGGGATGGGATGGGATGGGATGGGATGGGATGGGATGGGATGGGATGGGATGGGATGGGAGATTGGATGGGATGGGATGGGATGGGATGGGATGGGATGGGATGGGATGGGATGGGATGGGATGGATTGGATGGGATGGGATGGGATGGGATGGGATGGGATGGGATGGGATGGGATGGGATGGGATGGGATGGGATGGGATGGGATGGGATGGGATGGGATGGGATGGGATGGGATGGGATTGGATGGGATGGGATGGGATGGGATGGGATGGGATGGGATGGGATGGGATGGGATGGGATGGGATGGGATGGGATGGGATGGGATGGGATGGGATGGGATGGATGGGATGGGATGGGATGGGATGGGATGGGATGGATGGGATGGATGGATGGGATGGGATGGGATGGGATGGGATGGGATGGGATGGGATGGGATGGGATGGGATGGGATGGGATGGGATGGGATGGGATGGGATGGGATGGGATGGGATGGGATGGGATGGGATGGGATGGGATGGGATGGGTGGATGGGATGGATAGGATGGGAGATGGGATGGGATGGGATGGATGGGATGGGGATGGGATGGGATGGGATGGGATGGGATGGGATGGGATGGATGAGGAATGGAGATGGGGATGGGATGGGATGGATGGGATGGGATGGGATGGGATGGATGGAGGGATGGGATGGGATGGGATGGGAGATGGGATGGGATGGGATGGGATGGGATGGGAGGGATGGAATGGGATGGGGATGGATGGGATGGGGATGGGATGGGATGGGAGGGATGGGATGGGATGGGATGGGAATGGGATGGATGGGATGGGATGGGGATGGGATGGGATGGGATGGGATGGGATGGGAATGGGATGGGATGGGATGGGAGATGGGATGGATGGGATGAGATGGGATGGGATGGGATGGGGATGGGATGGGATGGGATGGGATGGGATGGGATGGGAATGGATGGGATGGGATGGGATGGGATGGGATGGATGGGATGGGATGGGGATGGGATGGAATGGGTTGGGATGGGAATGGGATGGTGGGATGGGGGATGGGATGGGAGTGGGATGGGATGGGAGATGGGATGGATGGGATGGGATGGGATGGGATGGAATGGGATGGGATGGGATGGGATGGGATGGGATGGATGGGATGGGGATGGGATGGATGGGATGGGATGGGGATGGGATGGGATGGGATGGATGGGATGGATGGGATGGGATGGGATGGGATGGGATGGGATGGGATGGGATGGGATGGGATGAGATTGGGTGGGGTGGGGTGGGGTGGGGTTGGACGGGACAGGATGGGAGGGGATCGGATCGGATCGGATTGGATCGGATCAGATCGGATTGGATCGGACTGGTTGAGATCGGATCGGATGTCTCTCCAACACCTTTGACTTGTCTCACAACACCTTTGACTTGTCTCACAACACCTTTGACTTGTCTCACAACACCTTTGACTTGTCTCACAACACCTTTGACTTGTCTCACAACACCTTTGACTTGTCTCACAACACCTTTGACTTGTCTCACAACACCTTTGACTTGTCTCACAACACCTTTGACTTGTCTCACAACACCTTTGACTTGTCTCACAACACCTTTGACTTGTCTCACAACACCTTTGACTTGTCTCACAACACCTTTGACTTGTCTCACAACACCTTTGACTTGTCTCACAACACCTTTGACTTGTCTCACAACACCTTTGACTTGTCTCACAACACCTTTGACTTGTCTCACAACACCTTTGACTTGTCTCACAACACCCCCTACCCTCCCATTCATCTCCGCCCCTCCCCCTTTTTCCTCACCTGCAGACGCGGTGGCGGACAGCCCATATTATGCTGCCCTCCCGGCCATGTTAACTCTCCTCCGCACCCTCACCTGCAGACACGGTGTCAGCCAGTGTGGTCAACGCGCACACCCAGGCTGTTGACCAGCAGCTGGCTGGGATTCAAGCTGCCGCTGCTGCTGGAGTGGATTCGCCCCTGACTGACCAGCTCCTTGCCCCTCTGCAGGGCATGGCTGCTGGTGTTGGGGTGGCGAGGGGGGGAGTGGCGAGCGGAGCGGGGATGGGGGGTTTGGGTGGGGTGGGGGGTGTGGCGGGGATGGGCGCAGGGGGGGTGGGATTTGGGAGGAACGGGGTGGGGGGAATGGCGACAACGGGTGTGGGAGCAGCAGGGATGGGAACAGCAGGGATGGGAACAGCAGGGGTGGGAACAGCAGGGATGGGAACAGCAGGGATGGGAACAGCAGGGGTGGGAACAGCAGGGATGGAAACAGCAGGGGTGGGAACAGCAGGGATGGGAACAGCAGGGATGCAGGGGTGGGAACAGCAGGGGTGGGAACAGCAGGGGTGGGAACAGCAGGGGTGGGAACAGCAGGGGTGGGAACAGCAGGGGTGGGAACAGCAGGGGTGGGAACAGCAGGGGTGGGAACAGCAGGGGTGGGAACAGCAGGGGTGGGAACAGCAGGGGTGGGAACAGCAGGGGTGGGAACAGCAGGGGTGGGAACAGCAGGGGTGGGAACAGCAGGGGTGGGAACAGCAGGGGTGGGAACAGCAGGGGTGGGAACAGCAGGGGTGGGAACAGCAGGGGTGGGAACAGCAGGGGTGGGAACAGCAGGGGTGGGAACAGCAGGGGTGGGAACAGCAGGGGTGGGAACAGCAGGGGTGGGAACAGCAGGGGTGGGAACAGCAGGGGTGGGAACAGCAGGGGTGGGAACAGCAGGGGTGGGAACAGCAGGGGTGGGAACAGCAGGGGTGGGAACAGCAGGGGTGGGAACAGCAGGGGTGGGAACAGCAGGGGTGGGAGCAGCAGGGATGGGAACAGCAGGGGCGGGAGTGAGAAGCATGTGGATGGCTGAAACTCGTAGAGGGGGAATGGGATCGGGGATACCGCGGATGGGGGAATCAGGGTTCGGTTGGAGGGGTTTGGGAACGGTAGGCGAAACGGGAGCGGCGATGGCAGAAGGTGGGAGTGTGGGTGTGGGAATGGCAGCAGCAGCAGTAGCAGCGGCCTCAGCAGGAGGAGCGAGGGGTGTACAGGGTGTGGACGGGGGAGGAGGAGGAGGACGGGGGGTGGGAGGAGGTGGAGGGGTAGGAGGGGCAGAGGGGGTAGGAGAAGCACCTGGGGCAGCAGGAGCAGGTGGGGCAGCAGGAGCAGGTGGGGGTGCAGGATCAGCTGGGTTGGGTGGCACGAGTGCGTTGGGCGGCACAGGTGGGTTGGGCGGCACACAAGGGGCGGGCAGCACGGCAGGGCTGCAGCTGCTGGGGCATCGCGTGCAGGAGTTTCTGCGACAGAACCTGGGAGCAGTCAACGCCAGTCAAGGGGCAGTCAACGCATGTCAAGGTGGGGTGGGTGGCACTCCAGTGGTGGTCAATGGGATTCAATGCGAGTGCCCTGAGTGTGTGGCTGCTAGAATGCGTCAAGGGGCAGTCAACGCAAGTCAACAGATGGCCCAGGCAGTGAATGCTGGTCAAGGGGCAGTCAATGCTGGTCAAGAGGGGGTGGCTGCCACTCCAGTGATGGTCAATGAGCATCAATGCGAGTGCCCTGAGTGTGTGGCTGCTAAATTGGCGGCCAGTATACGGCAAAGGGCTGTCAATGGGAGTCAACCGGTGGTCAATGCAGATCCGACGAGGGGAGTGGCAGCGAATCAGGCGGAGACAGCTATCGACCAATTAGGGTTCGGTGCGGGTCGTGTGGGGACGGCTGCAGTGCTACAGACAAGAAATGCTGCTGGTCCAGCACCAGTCAACACTGGTCAGGCATCAGTCAACGCTGGTCAAGAAACAAGAATTGCCGGTCAAGGAGCAGTCAATGCAGGTCAAGGGGTGGTCAATGCAGGTGAAGGTGGGGGGTTGAGTAGTGAGGAAGAGTTGCTTTCAGGTGGGAATCTGAGTGCTGGATGGGATACGAGTGAGGGCGAGGAGTTGAGTGAGGGCGAGGAGTTGAGTGAGGGCGAGGAGTTGAGTGAGGGCGAGGAGTTGAGTGAGGGCGAGGAGTTGAGTGAGGGCGAGGAGTTGAGTGAGGGCGAGGAGTTGAGTGAGGGAAGGGGAATCGTGTGTGCGAGGGACAATGGAGCTATTGCGTATGAAGCGGGAGCACTTGAGAATGAGGGATTGTGGCATGTCTGAGGGGGAAGAGGGTGTGACTGGAGGGAGGAGGGACATGGCTGGGGGGAAAGGGGGCATGCCTTTGAGGGGAGGAGACTCTAATGGAAAGGAAGGAGAGACGAGGGGGACAGACGGGGAGAGGAGTGAGGAGGGAGAGACAAGTGGGAAGGTGGGAGAGAAGAGTGGGAAGGAGGGAAACAAGGCCATCAGGACTGAAATAAAAAAGGAGAGAAGGGCATGGAGACAAGGAAGGCGAGATTGAAGGAGATCAGGAAGAATGCATGAGCAAGAGGGCAGGTGAGGTGCAAGTGGTTGCACAGGGACAAGGGTTTCTGCTTTGACGCTGTTTTGTTGTCTATCAGTTGGCGTGATACCGGTAGATGAAATACATAAACAAACAAATTATAGCCTACCAACCATCAACCACAGGAGAATCACAGAATGCCTACCACTCCTGCCCTGAATTGGAAAGGAGCCCCCACACCCAGCCCAAGACGTCCATGGTTGGGGATCAACTATTTGGGTAAACACGGATGCTGTCCTTGCCTGATTCAATCCCATACGGGTGCTGGTGCTAAAACAAGCATATAACTTCGGCTGAACATAAATTTCAAGCATGAATACTTGGGCTTTTTCCATAGTGGCACACATCGTTGGGTTCAGCTACAAGATACGAGATACGTTATTGTCTTGCGACTATGTACAACAAACTTTGCCCTTCAACTTTTAAGAAAAAAACTCATTTTAGGTGGAGAGCAGCACGTGAGGTTTACACCAGGTCAAGGAGAGGCAGGCAGTACTGCAAGCTGATTGCCGAGGGCAGGTTGATAAATGGATTGCTTTGAGACGTCTGAGGAGTGTAGCGAGAATCAATTTGCAATGTGGAGGGAGCAGCGGGGGTGTGTAATATATCCTGGGTTAAGGAGGGTCGGCGGTGCTCCGGGCTGTTGGGCGAGGCAGGTTGTTCCTCGAACGAATGCGAGTGAGTGTGAGATGCGGCACCGACCACCACCCTGAATCATGCAGGGAGGGGCAGGCGGTGCAATGGGGCCTAACCTGGGTCGAGAAGAGGCAGGCGGTACTGTAGGCTGATTGGGGAGGCGGCATATTGGAAAATCATGAGCAGACACGCCTCGTTGGGTGCCACCCCTGCTCACACAGATGGAGGAAGAGATGGGTGGGGGTTGATAAGGGTGACGGTACGCGGCAAGCGGATGGTATGATGGAAGCACCATGGAGCAGACACACCTCGTTGGAGGCCACCCCTGCTAACACGCATTGAGGGGACGGCATGGGGTGACGGGCATGGCAGGCAGTTGGCGGCATGATGGCAGCAAAATGAAGCAGTGGGGGAAGGAGCAGACGAAACGGCATGTAGCAGCACAGCAAATCAGGACCTTAAAGCACGGGCTCGCGGCAGCGAGAATGCTGCAGAGAGATAGAAAAAAAGGCCATTCAGAGATGAAAGAAAAAGGGGCGAAACAAGACTGATAAAGAAGATGGGAAACACTTGACGGCATGCACTCACCGCAATAGGAGGCGTCAGGGCGGGTAAGGTAGCACTGCAGACTGCGGGCGAGATGCTTCACACTCACTGACTGCTCAGGGGGGGTAGATGCGTGAGAGGGATGGGGGAGGGGTGAGATGGGCGAGCGAGGGATGTGGCAGGGATGGCAGAGGGGTGAGGCGGCAGTGCATGCAAACTGCAAGGAGGTGCTGCACACTCACTGAGGACGAGGTGAAGACTGTAGAGAACAAACGCGGGGGACGAAAAGGTCTGAGAGATTTAGATGCAAGCCACGACTGTAGCATCGCCTGTAGCTTGCATCTGCCTGAGCCGCGTGGACAGCCCCGATATGTCTGCATCGTCATCTGCACCTCCCCCTTGCCTGCTGCCCTCCCCCACTCCCGCCCCACTCTGCTGGCTCTCTGCTCCATAGTGTGAGGTGTGACAAGGGGTGAAGAAGCAGGGTGGAGTGGGGTAACAAGGGTGAAACGGAGCAAAACGGGAAACAAGGCAAAACAAGCAAAACGAGTGAGGGGGTTCGGCAAGACAGAAGAAATCAGGGAAAAGGGGGAAGAGGCTGGCTGCAAAGGCGGAAAGGTTCGTTTCGGCTGCATCGGAACCTCCCAAACCACTCCAACTCAGTTGACTTTAGGGGCGCCTCCGAAGCTGCACAGGAGCCTCCTACTTTACTGCACCTGAGTTCCACTGCACCTGAGTTCCATTCCACCTGAGTTCCATTCCACCTGAGTTCCATTCCACCTGAGTTCCATTCCACCTGAGCTGCATTGCACCTGAGCTGCATTCCACCTGAGCTGCATTGTACCTGAGTTCCACTGCACCTGAGCGAGCCCCGAAGACTTTGAGGTTCTTGAACTGGGCAGCAACGGTGATGGAGGGCGTGTGGGTGCGCATGGCGAGTGCACCGCTCCTCATTGTTGTCACGTCAGCCACGTCGCCCACACTCTGTAGTCGCTCCACCAGGTGCCGCAGCGAGGGCAGATCTGGTAGCTGCACCAGGGTCTGGAAGGGGAGAGAGGGGGGAAGGCAAGGGGAGGGGACAGTTGGCACGTCAGCCACGTCATTCAGTTGCTCCACCAGGTGGCGCAGGGACAGCAGGTCAGGCAGCTGCACCAGGGTCTGATCAGGGGGGGTTGAAGAGGAGAAAGGCGAGGGGGGGGGGGGAGCATGAGCAGGCGTCTTTACTCCTTGTGCTGGTTACTGCTGGTTATCTCAAACCAGGGAGGAGCATGACAGCATCCTTTGAATCCCCTCACGCCACAACACCACTCTGCACCCGCTCCAAGAGGTGCTGCAGAGACCGTAGGTGTGGCAGAGAGGCTCGGAAGGGCGGGCAAAATATGAACGGGAGCTCACCTCAGGCAACCTTGGACAAATCAACATTGATTGACGAAGCATTGGGCGGCAGATGTCGATGCCTCCCCAATCAACCGAAGTCAACAGAGGTCAACCGGAGTCTACAAGAGTCAACACGGGTCTCACCTCAGGCAGCGAGTGCACGAGGTCGATGCCAGCCTGCATCTCGTTGAGCTGCGAGCGCGGCAGCGGCGTCGAGATGGGTATGTCCTGCACTATGCTTGACCGCTCGCCCTGGGGGAGGGCGGGGGAATGGAGGAAAGGGACGACCACAAGTGGTGCGAGCACTTGACCAGGTGATGCTCACCAGGCAAGGAGATGGGGATGCTCTGCACGATGCTCGACCGCTCGCCCTGGGGGAGAAAGGGGGAGGGGAGAGGGGGGCACGAGGGAGTATGATCGGTTTCTCTGAGGTGGAAGGAGCGAGAAACTTGTCAGAATCCCAACCACTAGACCATTGGGATAAAATGGCTTGTTTCAGTAGCGGGTCAGTGCGCCCATAACCCCCCAGGCGAACGCGTCTGTAACCCTTTCCAGGATCAATCGGGCATCCACAGTGCAGATCTACTGACACCCCCCCACACTGGGAGGCCCAGGACTAAGCACAGCGGCAACGGCCTACATGTGCATACACCGGGAATCGAACCCGAGACCGCTCTGATACCATGTCAGAATCCCAACCACTAGACCATTGGGATAAAAGGGCTTGTTCAGTAGCGGGTTAGTGCGCCCATAACCCCCTATGCGAACGCGCCTGTAACCCTCTCCAGGATCAATCGGGCATCCACAGTGCAGATCTACTGACAGAACTGCGCTGCTGTCTGCACCCTGGGCGTCGAGATGGGAATGTCCTGCACTATGCTGGAGCGCTCGCCCTGGGTGGATGAGGGGGAGGGAGGAAAGGGGCATGAGGAGTGGAAATACATTGCTTTGAGCACCCAGCCAAGTGATGACCACTGCTTCACACGTCCAGGAGATGGGGATGCCCTGCACGATGCCCAACCGCTCGCCCTGGGTGGGTGAAGGGAGGGGAGGGGGATCGAGCTGTCAAGGGCGGAGCTGCATTGCTGTGGGTGGGTGGGTGAGTGGGCACAAACTCAAGGTGTGCTAACTGCTGCTCACACGGCGTCCAGATGGGTATGCCCTGCACGATGCTCAACCGCTCGCCCTGGCGGGAGAAAAAGGGGGGGGGAAGGGGGCACAAGGGGTGTGCTAACTGTTCCCCACACAGCAACAAGATGGGGATGCCCTGCACGATGCTCAACCGCTCACCCTGGTTGGTGGACAGGGTGCGCATGACAGGTGCACGAGTGGAGGGTTGACAGCTGCTATCCAACCGATTGAAATAGACTGACTGGTGGATGATTCAAGCGCACACTGGAAAGCCGAAATATTAAGGGAACTCAAAGCCGCTTTACTGTGCTCCTGGTAGATGTCTGCTTTCCCGAAACTCGCTGCTCTACACCCATCATTACTCAATCAAACCACTCACCGGCCTTCCATCCCCATCCGATTATTCCGCGTTAAAGCCCAGGCCTCACATTGGTCCGCCTGAGGCATGCAATGCAATTGCACCCACGTTTACCATGCACTCTCTGCCGGAGGTGAGACTTGTGTTAACTCTGGTGACGTGTGGCAGAGTTGGCAAAGTGTGGCACGAGCCAGACAGATGGCCTTGAGAAACAGGGCGTCCCAATCGGCACCCACCTTGGCCTCCAGGGACAGAAAGGGCAGCGCGGGCGCAGAGGGGTTGGTGCTCTTCTTGACGAGCTTCAGCTGGTGGCGCGTGGCGGCGGTGGCGAGGGAGGAGCGCAGGGCGCGGGCGAGGAGTGAGAGGTCGAGCGAGAATGCGATGCGATCCGCGCTGGCGCTGCTGATGAGATGCTCTGAGAATAGCTCTCTCTGAGGGGAGAGGGAACGCAAGGAAGGGGAAAGGAAATCTAGAGGGCGCGGGCGAGCAGAGAGAGGTCGAGCGAGAAGGCAATGCGATCGGAACTGGCGCTGCTTATGAGGTGCTCCGAGAAGAGCTCGGCCTGAATTGGGGGGTGCATGGGGGATGGGAAGGGGGAAAGAGGAAAGTAAGAGGGCGCGGGCGAGCAGTGAGAGGTCCAGCAAGAAGGCGATGCTATCTGCACTGACTTTGCTTGTGAGATAGCTCGACCTGGGGGGGAAGGGAGGAGGAGTGCAGATGGACGAAAGGAGGGGGAAGGGGGGGAACCCGAAAAGGCGCTGCTGATGATGTGCTCCGAGAATAGCTTGGTCTGGAGGTGGGAAATCGGGAAGGAGGACAGGAGGACAGGGCCTTAGACGTGTGAGGACAAGTTAGGATGAAGGGCATGTGAGGAAGCGAGAGATGAATCTGATGGAAAGAAAAAAGGGTGTGGGGGTCTGTGAACAATGGAAGCGATGTAGGTTTGGCTTACTGTTGAAAAGCTATGTGCATGAGCGAGTGGCGGACGTTACAGTTGAGAACTGTGGGATGGCAATGGCATGCATGCCATGGGTTGTGTCGTATCGGTGCGACGGACTACAATTCTGTTTGTAACTGCGAGATGGCCATCTTACAGTGGGGAACTGTGCGATGGCCTGCACACCGTCAACAGAGAGCACGTTGTGAAGGAGGAAGACGTCAGATGGAGTGAGGTACACGTGGCACACCCGCCCTATGCGCTCAAACGCTGGCAGGAAGCCTGCAGGAGGGGCGAGGGTAGGGGGGGAAAAGGGGGGAGCGGGTGGTGGTTGGCACCATGAAAGTGTATGTGTATGTGCGGAGTTACACGTGCCGGCAATGATGCTTCCAGGACGTGATGTGGCACGTGGCACACCCGGCGTATATGCTCAAACGCTGGCAGGAACCCTGCAAAGGGGTCGTGCGTAGGGGGGGGGTGGCATGGCAGATGGGTGGTGGCATGGGGTGGACCGTGGAGCTACAGTATGCTTTCATATACACGAAATGGCTCCCTGCTGCTGCCAGGGCGTGAGGTGATAAAAAAAGTATCAACTTCTTTTATCAACGAGGTGGACCGTGCAGCTGTGGAAATATATAATACACGCGCATTGGCTCCCTGCTGCTGCCAGGGCGTGAGGTGCACGGCACACGCGCCCAATGCGCTTGACGGTGATGGGGAGCGGGGAGTGGACTGGCGGGTGGTTGCTTGAACTGAAGGCGTGTGGCTGCAGTGTTACGGGCATTCGAGGTTATAAACGATGGTGCTGGGTTTGGTGGGTACAAGGTGGGGAACAAGGTGGGGTACAGGCCTGCAAGGGCGTGCCTTGCCTGCGCGCTCCAAGGCCGGTGAGTGCCCTGCAGGTGAGGGGTGGGGTGGCGGTGGAATGATGACTCGGGGGTGATGTGATGGCTCATAGTGAAGGCATCGATGAGTGGAGAAATGGTGCGCATTAGGAACGGCAACAGGCATAGATCAAATAGAAGTGATTCCAGTATTGCGCATAGATTGATGTAACCCAACTAGTGTGCGCATGTGAGACGAATAGGCTCAGAAAGTCATGGGTTGGCCACGCTGAGGCATGATGTCATGGATGGGATGGTTGCATGGATGGGACATGGATGGCATGATGGCATTGGATGACGAAGGAGGCATGCAAGGAAGCGGTAGGCGCTAAATGTTGCACTTCGCCATGGTGAACAGAGAGAAGAGAAGCACGGAGCACGTGACCCAAGACATCGAGGCTGAGCTACCTAGCGCCACCCGGGGTTGAAAGCATAGCAGGAGCAAAACGCACACGAGAGATTGAAATGGGAAAAGGATCGTCAAACGAGCACATAGGTAAGGGAGCAGGAAGGTGACTTCCGAGGCGGGCTTACGTTGCTCGAGGAGCGCCACTCCGTCTGTCGTGAGAATCGCCTTGAACCGCATGCTGCGCTCTGCTGTGTGCTCTGCTGTGTGCTCTGTAAGCTGCTCTGTTGTGTGATCTGCTGTATCATCTGACCTATGCGCTAACGCATCAGTAGGGAAAACCATAAGAAGCTCTTTATCCTGCTCGCTGTATAGCCGTCAGTTCTTTTTCTAACCGGCTGCTGGAGAATTCAACCTTCCCCAGTCCATGAAACTGGTCCATGAAGCCCGCTGGTTACAGTAATGTCAGAATCCCAACCACTAGACCATTGGGATAAAAGGGCTTGTTTCAGTAGCGGGTCAGTGCGCCCATAACCCCCCAGGCAAACGCGCCTGTAACCCCCCCTAGGATCGATCGGGGATCTCACAGTGTAGCTCTACTGACACCCCCCCACACTGGGAGGCCCAGGACTGAGCACAGTGGCAACGGCCAGCATGTGCATACACCGGGATTCGAACCCGAGACCGCTCTGATACCATGTCAGAATCCCAACCACTAGACCATTGGGATAAAAGGGCTTGTTTCAGTAGCGGGTCAGTGCGCCTATAACCCCCCAGGCAAACGTGCCTGTAACCCCCCCTAGGATCGATCGGGGATCTCACAGTGTAGCTCTACTGACAAGTAAAATTCTTATAAGCGACTTATTGCGATTTGTACAACGATCACGTCATCTTCACCTGACGTTTTGGCATCCACGTAGTAATCATTGCTGCTAACTGCACGACGACAAGGCTGAGGTGCGAGCGACGCCTTGGGTTAGCCTAATGAGATGACATGCTCAGTCTCAGACGGTGGTCTTTGAAGTAGGGTTATACGCAGGTGACGTACATTATAAAAAGCTGAGATGCGGTTGAAAGCGGTGGATGAATACTCCTTTTTTAGAAACTTGAGCCGTGTTTTGTGGCAGCGTGCCCGTGACGCCAGATGGTAGCAGCAAACAACGAGGTTGAATGAACTTGCAGAGTGCGGAGAATATCGAATAACGAGAATGAGAATTACTGAATGACCATACAATGGAAGTGACGAGGCCTAATTAGGGGAAGTCCTAGCAAGGCGGGGAGGTTGGGCAAGGATGGCTCGGTGATGGATGCGATTGGAGGGGAGGCCGATTCGGGAGTGGTTCGGCCAACGAAATAGGCCGAACAGGTTCGTCGCGTGACCTTCGGGATGCACTCGCTAGTAACTGACTACAGTAAGGAATTCGTTCAAATGGGCGGAGAAGGAGGAGCCGGAGCGTCTCCTGGGGATCTGGATCACGCCGAACGGCGATGCGGGCCCGTCGTGGGATAGGACCTACGAGAGGGTGAAAGAGGAGCTGGGAAGGTAGGAAGCTCAATATCTTACGACAACGGCAAGAGTGGCGGTAGTGAGCTGCTATGTGCTCCCAATCATGATGTTCCAGGCGCAGGTTTACTCGCCGCCGGAGGGATCGTGGGACAAGATAAGGAAGCTGTGCCACAATTTCGTCTCGGGGGGGGAGGCGACGGACGAGAAGCGGTTCATCCTATGGAGTACCTGGTCAGCTTACCCAGAATGGAGGGCGGGCTGGGCCTGGCAGACCTGAAGGTATGGCTCCACGGGCTGGCGGTCCGCAGAGTGGGGAAGCTACTGGCGGAGCCAGACGGGGTCAGGAAATGGCTCGCGGAGGAAGCGGCTGCGCTCCCTCAGGGGATGGTGACGTGGTATGCGCACCCTGCGGTGATCAAGAAATGGGAGGGGGGAAGCGAGAGATGGAAAGCGGCGGCGAAGGCGTTCTGGAAGACTCCCTTTGCGGACCTGCCAGACCCGACGTGCCGGTGGGAGGTAGATGAGGAGTGGATCTGTTTCAACAGAAAGCTGATGCACAGGGGGAAGAGCCCTTTCGGGCTGCAGAAAAGGTTAGAGTGGATTATGAATCTACGCGTGAGGGATCTGCTTCATCTGCAAAAAGTTGAGGTCCCATGACGGTCCCCCCATTTTAACCTTCCCTAAAGACTTTTTAGGGGCTCTCGAAAATGTCCCACATCTGTCTACGGGCCCGAAAGAGAATTTCGGAAGAGTGTACAGTGGTTCCCGAAAACCTTCCGTCCTAAAACTGTTCCGCGAAGTCAACGAATTCGTTTTATAAATGTCCGTCAATCTGATCCAGCCTGCTATGTCTTAGTCCACGTGAATGACAGTAGACCGAAAGGTCACGGGTTCGAATCTTGATGACAACAAATTTTGAACGTAAAGTGTTTTTATATAAATTTAGTCTGCCTTGTGATATTTTGTTGATGCATATGATAAAATCTGACTTATGTTAATGGGTTTGCATTAATTCCGAGCGCGATAGATGTTGTGCTAATCTTCAACATTTTAATTACATTTGAAAATAATGCAGTGAAATTTAGTCCAGTTACCATACTTAACGTCGATAACTGTTATCGAATTAGCTTTTAGCAGGTGCGGTGCGAATTACAGGTAGCTGTTTTGAGACTCTCGCCAAATTCGTAAGTCAGACGCGCCCCCTCTCCCCAACCCCACAAACAATCGATCGAGGGGGAGGGGAGGCCAAATTTTCGCGATTTTCGTAAGTCCTCCCCCCCCCCCCCCCCCCCCCCCCCACCACCGCGCCCGCCCGCCCCTCACAAACAATCGATCGAGGGGGAAGGGGAGGCGAAATTCTCGCCAATTTCGTAGCCCCCCCTTCCCCCCCGCCCCTTCAGAAACAATCGATCGAGGGGGGAGGGGAGGCGAAACTCTCGCCAGTTTCGTTAGTCCCCCCCTTCCCCCCCGCTCCTCACAAACAATCAATTGAGGGGGGATGGGAGGCGAAATTTGTGTGCCTCACAGATGACGCCAAATTAGCGTCACCTGGGAGGCAAAAAGCTTTCGCGCCACCTGTCATCCACACCGAATTGTCACCTGTCAGCTGACCACAAAAAACGCACACGTCATCAAATGGAACAGATATAGGGTGCACCACAATCACTTGTCAACCACCTGTCACAGCACCTTCCTCATCTCTTGCACAACCAGATTACCGACGCGAAACCTTCCTAAAACCAACCTAACCACATCAAAACCCATCTTGCTTCAAAACGTATTGCATTTAACTTGAGTCCACTCTTATTGCCCACTCTCATTCTCCTTTCAGTTAGACGTGTTCTATTCTTGTGTCTGCCAGTTTTGTTTCGTGGGTTCCTTCACCACTTGTAGATGTGTTTGCCCTCGATTTTCGCTATACCGTATATGTTAAGCATCTGACGAGCCTTAGATGATTTCGATAATGATAGAAATATTTTGTATTCTTCTGCTAGAAATATTTTTCCCCAAAACATAAACACGTTTATATCTCTTAGTTTCCACCGTTGAAACTCCGCTATAATTATGTAGTAGGTTCTGTTGTACGATCCTTGATGTATCTCACTATTTTTGTTGCTCATATTCATGGCTACATGATGCTATGAGTGTCTCCTCCCATTGGTCATGTTATGATGTTCTTATCATGCACCATAATTTCTTTTTTTTTTGTATGTACATCTTTGTTGCAGTGGATGATGATTTCACCGTGGACCAGGTTTTATTTTTCAGTCAGGCATCATTGAAGGTACGTATGCAAAAGTTTAGCATATGATGTGTCGTTCGTGTGCTTTTTATGTCTCCTACATATCGTTTGCCACTTGATCTCGCTAACCGTCATTGGATGATGCTATGTGAGTGACCTGGTTACTTTCCTTGTTTTTTTTACTCATCCAGAATCCACTGCAGCTGTCGTTTTTTTTTTTTATGTGGGCAGTTGAACGTAAGCCTTCTAATGTGGTGCGGATTATTTCGTGATGCAGGGTTACAGTGTCGTAACCAGCTCGTTGGTTTTACATGCTCTCTCGTTTTCTCCAATATAAGTCAATTTTCAAGTTAAACTTCCACTAATCTGGCTATTTGTTTATTGTGTCAAATGCAGAAACGCTGGATTTATTACATTTGTAAATGCATTGTGGAAACCTTCTACTGTTGGCTTTTTATCCAGGATCTTGTGTTTTTATTGAACAAACTGTATACATTGTTATGGAATATGATTTAGAACAAAAAAGTTGTACTCCCAAATTGCACATAGGAACTTAAAACCATCCTGTGGTTGCACCAGAATTAGAACCAATAGAAATCGAACCTCACACGTGTATGATTGGTCTGTCATTGGACACAAATGTGTTCTACAAATGTCCCAAAACTGTCCAAATCTGTCCACCGAAACACTTTCGCGACACTGTCAAAGAATCTTGCGGGACAAATTTGGGACTCTTGGAACTGCACCCTAGTTGTTCCCGAAAGGCACTTCCGGGACAGTGGTGAAATGTGTCCCAAAAGTCTCTCGCGGGATGGTTTTGGGACGGTTTTGGGAGCTAGGATTTTGGAGATGTTGCTGACATAACAGGGGACGGTAGGAGGCCGAAGAGCGTGGAGGAACTAACGCCGGAGCTGGGGGATGAAGCGGCCGCTGCCCTGGCGGTCAAAGCCTACGAGGCGCTACCGGCGGCATGGAAGGAGATGGTCCTCGCCCCGGTGTCAGCGCAGGCGCTCAAGGCGGCGACGTCGGTTGTCAGTGTGCTGACGATGCAGTAGGGAGAGAGAGCCTACTGGGCGGTGTCGGGGTCAGAAGGGGCCAAGGTAAAGGCCTCTCAACTTCAGCTCAAGGGGGACGGGACCCTGGAGGCACCGGCGACGGCTTGCTTTGAATTATGCGGGGTGCAGCCAGTGGCGGTGCAAGATATGAGAGTTATCGGACCGGTGGGAGTGGCGAGGACGAAGCTGCTAACGAAAAGCAAGCTTTTCAGTAAGGAGGGGCTGGTCCCTTTGCGGCAGGTCCGGCGGGCGATGACTAAGGATGCGGGAACGTCTAGAAGGCAAGGCGAATGGGAAGCTGTGTGGGGAAGGAAGATAGACTGGAAGGCAACAATCGAGAGAAGGGACTCTGTGGTGATACCGCTGAAGGCGAGGGACATCCTGCTCAGAGCTCACAACATGAACCTGCAGCTGGGGGGCAGGTTGGACTTCATGAGGAACAGTATTGACTGCCCTCACTGTGGAGGGTACGAAACCCTGGACCACTGCCTGTTCAGTTGCGAGGTTATCCAGCCGGTCATTGGCGCGTTGGTGAGGTCTCTGGAGCTGATGAACCCGGGCAGAAGGGCGAACTCTCTAGAAGACCTGCTCTTCGAGAAAGGTGGCACCACGTCAGGATTTCCAGAGATGATTTTGATTGCAACAGTTCTGTGACAAGTGTGGCTGGCCCGATGTGATGCGGCGTGGCGGGCAGACCCATTTCAAAAGAAAAAGGTGGGGCGCAACGCGGTGTTGGGCTTCATGACGCATGCGCGAGTGGTATTGGCAGCTAGGGCAAGGGCGGCGGCTAAGGACAAAAGCGGCAGGGGGGGCTATGACGCGTGGACACGTGTGGCGGAAGATGAGAGGAAGGCTATGCAGGAAATCTGCACGGCGGATGGGCCAACCAGGTGGTCGGATGCTTTTCTGTCCATCTGGCGCAACCCGAGGACTTTGTATCAGCCTCCGTAGAAGGCGTTGGGGGGCGCAGCATGTTACATGTCAGCATGATGTGTGCTCTCCATATCTCCAGTTACGACTGTGTGAAGATTAGAACGAGAATGAAAGAAGAGGAGGAGTTTCACTTGTGAAAATAAACGAGAATGAATGCACTATGAAACAGTTGGGTAGAAGTACTAACCCTAATTGGGTTGTACCCCATATGGGCTACCCCACTACAGCCTACACAAAAGCATAAGCTATAATGTTCTGACACACCCCCATAGGCAAAGTGGGGGAGTCAAGGGGTCACAAGACCAGTCAAGCAAAGCAAAGCAAAGTAAGCTCAGGGTGGATCACAAAGTCACCACACATTCCGAGCACAAGGTCAAGGCCACAAGGCCAGTTCACATGCAGGAGTACATATATATATAAAAGGCTAGACAAGCAAGAGCAGATGTATATATATATGTAACAGTACAAGCAAGGTCAAGAGGTGAGCAAGTGAGGCAAGGCAGGCACAAGACCCAGCTGAGTACAGAAGCGCTGATGATCACAAGGCGCAAGCGCCTTGGTGAAGATATCAGCAGTGTTGGCCTTAGAGGCCACGTACGCAAGACGCAGCTGACCACGCTGCTGCAGCTCACGAGCAAGGAAGTAGCGAAGAGCAATGTGCTTCGTTCTGTGCTCCAGTCTCTGCTCTCGACACAAGGCCAGCATGGCCTTGTTGTCTACGTACAGCACTTGAGGAGAACGAGGCGGCTCTCCGAGGTCAGTCAGCAGGTAGGTGAGCCAGCGAAGCTCTTGTGCAGCCATGGCCCCGGCGTAGATCTCAGCCTCACAACTGGAGCCGAGAACAGAAGACGAGCGGGTAGCCCGCCAAGAGACAGAGCCAGAACCAAGGCTGAAGGTGTAACCCTGTGACGACCGCTGCGTAGCCTGGTCGTCAGCCCAAGAAGCGTCTGCGTGCCTAGTGAGGACCACTGGACTCTGCCCTCCAAGCACTAGCCCCATGCCCGACGTACTGCACAAGTAGCGCAACACCCTCTTCGCTGCAGCCATGTGCTCCGGTCTGTGTCTCCCAGGAGCAACATAGAGTGCAAGAATGCTAAGAGGGTATGCAAGGTCAGGTCGAGTGCAGGTCATCACGTACATGAGGCAGCCAACAAGCTCTGGGTACGGGCCACTCGACTCTACGAACTCATCCGAAGGCAGAGCTGAGAGCGAGTGGCGAGTAGGCAGAGGAGTGGCCTGAGGCGAGGAGTACGTGAAGCCGAAGCGCTGAAGGACCTGCTGCACCATGTGTGACTGAGTCAGGGTAATGGTGCGGCGTGCTCTATCCCGGGTGATTTGCAAGCCAAGGTAGCTGCGCGGTTCACCCAGGTCAGTGCACGTGTGTCTCTTCTGCAGCTCGGACTTCACGTGGGTGAGTCAAGCAGTGTCAGGTGTGGCAAAGACCAAGTCGTCGACGTACACGAGGATGTAGAACGGCGGCAAAGAAGTGTCGGTGCGCAGAAACAGCGACGGGTCGGCAGTAGAGGGAGAAAAACCAAGAGCCGCAAGCGTAGTCCTCAGTGTGTCGTGCCACTCACGCGGTGCCTGGCGGAGACCGTAGACTGGCCGCCGGAGGCTCCACTGGGTGCCAGGAGGAAAAGTCCCAGTGAAGCCAAGTGGGCGGCGCAGCCAGATCTCCTCGTGCAGGCTACCCTGCAAGAAAGCAGTGCTGAAGTGAAGAGAGTGAAGCTCGTAGTCGCGCTGAGTGGCTATGTGGAGTAGCACCCGAAGAGTGGTCATCTTCGAGGTGGGAGAGAAGGTCTGAAAGTAGTCAACTCCCTGCCGCTGACTGAAGCCACGAGCCACGTACCGCGCCTTGAAGACAGGTGGAGAACCCGGCGGCCGCTTCACCCTGAAAATCCACATGCCACTGACGATGTTCGCCCCAGGCGGGGGAACCTCGTCAACGTAGGTGCCTGTGGACTTCCAGGAAGCCATCTCTGCGTCCATAGTTGCCTGCCACTGAGAGGAGTAGGGACCCTCTATCACCTCCGCGTAAGAGCGCGGAGTCGGGATGTCAAGAGCATCCGGGTCTCCCTCATGGGTAAGCAGTACGGACACGAGATGAGGTGAAGCAGCAGCCAAACACTGGAACTCCTCCTGCCTGTCCTCAAGGACGTCCGTGCCAAGGGGACACTCACCCCCGACGGACGGAGGACAGACAGACTCAGACTCAGCGACAAGACTAGCAATGTAGTCTAGACGACTGCGAGCAGCAAAGTCGACGAGCTCAGCAACGAGGGCAGACGCATCAGTGGACTCAAAAGAAGGGTCAGTGACGGCAGTAGCAAGGAGACGCGTGACAGTAGGACTGGCAGCACGAAGAGAGTCCGACTCCGGGTCGGCAAGAGCAGGAAGAGAGGACTCAGAAGGAGAAGGCAAAGGGGTACGCAGAGGAGCAGTGGACGGACGCAGAGACATCCGGTGCGTGCCCGGGACAGGAGGAGGACGCTGACGCGAACTACGACCACTAGTGCGAGTAGGACGGACAGTCGATGTAGGGCCAGACGCAGGCTCACGACGCTCAGCAAGACCTCCAGTAGGACCAGTGTAGGGAGAGGGAGCAGGCAGTGGGGAGGCCGGCGGTAACTGTAACTGGGACGGGACAGGCTGTAGACACTCTATGGGAGGAGGAGGACCAGTAGAAGGCGGGTGACCAAGAACCTGCTGAAGGAGCGGAACGAAGTACGGCCGAGGCCGATAAGCGACTCCAGACACAGCAGGGACAGTACCAGCACCCCCAGCGGCAGCACCAGCGCCAGCAGCACCTCCACCTCCAGTACCTCCAGCAGCACCAATAGCACCTACAGTAGCACCGCCTCCAGGACCGACAGTAGTAGCCTCAGCACCAACACCCTCAGCAGCTCCAGCTCCAGTCGCACCCGCCGGCCCTGCAGCTCCAGTACCTCCAGTAGGAGCACCTCCCAGACCCGCGGCACCAGCACCCTCAGCAGTCGAAGACCCTCCAGCTCCAGCAGCACGCCTCCAGCGCTGGGCAAACCACTCGCGCAGCTCCTGTAGAGAGAGTGGCTCCCGCCGAGACGAAGCACCGGGAGAACCTCCAGGCCCAGCACCGCCAGATGCCACACGAGCAGGCCCAGCCCCCTCAGGCTCCACACCCCCAGGCTCAGCACCTCCAGACGTAGCACCCCCAGGCTCAGCACCCCAAGGCGTAGCACCCCCAGGCTCAGCACCCCAAGGCTCAGCACCCCTAGTCTCCGCACCCCTAGTCTCAGCACCCCCAAGCGTAGCACCCACATGCTCAGCACCCCCAGAGTCAGCACCCCCAGGCTCAGCACCCTCAGCAGCACCAGGGTCACTAGTGACCTCGACAGGCTCGACTGCGTCTACCTGGGACACACCTGAAGGGGCTGGACCTTGAGGGGGGAAGGGGGTCTACCGGGGGGGGACCTGGTACGAGGAAGAGCGGCGGCGGGGGGAGGGACGGAGTGCGGTAGGGGAAGAGGCGGTAGTAGGGGACCGACTCGTCAAACGTGACGTCCTGGGAGGACAGAACACGGCGAGAGGTGGAGTGGTAGAACTGCCACCCTGGCGCGTCAGGGGGGAAGCCAAGGAAGACGCAAGGAGTCGCACGAGGGGACAGCTTGTCCGCAGACAAGTCGCGTACCGGACCGCAAACGGCCACAGAAAATGGGGGGCAGCCGCATGCATCATGGACGTACGGGCGACGTCCATGACCATGCCAATGCGGCGCTCAGCAATCCCATTTTGCTGTGGAGAGTCCGGAAGCGTGAAGGTCTGGCGGATGTCTCGTGCACGACAGTAGGCTCGCAGAAGGCCAGAGGAGAACTCTCCGCCTCTGTCAGAGTGTAGACGCAGAACAGGAAAGTCCGAGCCGAAGCTCTGCCTGAGATGGAGACGAGCTGCGCGGATCCAGTCGATCAACACCTCAGTGACATCACCCTTGCTGCGCGAGGGGAAGACTGTGGTGTAACGCGAGTAGTCGTCAACAACGAGCAGGAAGTAGCGCTCGTGACCCTGTCCACGGACGCGGGCGGGGCCCCACA